ATAACAGGTTCCCATTGTCAGTAAAAATGTATTCAAAAAAGGGAGGTTATAATATGCTTATTACCTCTCTTCCACCTATAAATCGGACTTTTTTTTGGTTAAATGTCTAACATGTAATTTACAAGCATCTTGAAAACATTTTAGAAGTGCATGTAGTTCTTAATTATCCATGGGATTCTTAATATATTAAACTAAGGTTTGTTAAATAATTTGCAATGTATTTGTAGTATACTGACATCCATTCCAGAATGAATTTTTTTGTTCTATGTTCTCTGTCTTATTCCTGATTTCCTTTAATGTGAACCTCAAAATTGAGTAGCTTTAACTACATTATAGACATTTGGGTTCTAATGTAATCAAGGCATTGGCAACTGGTTAGACTTGTATTTAAACTAACTTCTGTGCTCTAATGCTGTTTTGCTTGTATTTGTAGTATTAGAAAGACATTGGTATTGGTCTTAATTTGTTATGATATATCTGTGAGATCCTTATCTAGTCTTTGATTACATGAGCTCATGTTATTTTTTGATCCTACATTCTGTACTGAGTGCATCATGGTCACGGGAGGAGTGTTCATGTAATATTGTGCTTGGTCCTTGTTGTTTCAGTAGAAGGCTCCATGTTTTGTCCATTGTGTTATGTCCCACTTGGAAAACAGTGATTCCCCCTGCCCATGGAATGTGGTCTTGTGCTCAAGTATTTTCCCAGCTGTAGAAGAGGAGGAGGTGATATTTTTCCCAACTTAAGGATGAGGAAATGAGGCAAGAAAAATGTGTAGACAGAAGTACATAGAAGTACCTGCTAACTTTAGGAATTCAGCATGAAACATTTGGGCACTGATTTTTCAGAATGCTTAGGATTTTCTATCTTGAACGCAAAGGATTGACTTCAATTTCACTGTAAGTACAAGTGGAGCAGTTAGAGATCTGATGGGTGTCTATGCACTGCTCTTTAAGATAGATGACGCCATATTGCTCCACAGCTGTCACTGCCCTTTTAGTCTTTTACTCGCTATTGGAACTGTTGCAGGGCTAGTGATACCTAGCAGAAAGAAGGGATGAGAGAAGCCCCCGCTATGAATAATGTGAGGTTTTTTCTATTCTAAAAGTAAGTAAATACCTCATCTGATAATACTTGGAGAAATGTGTTGCCACTGACTTCCTGTCCTCCGATTTTAAAAAGTATTTATCTAAAGCATCTCATAGAACCTCTGCAATACAGGTAGGAGAGTCATCCAGTATAATGCCCAAAACCTATTTGCTTACCTGGATTTGGGAACTAATCTTTTCTACTTTTTTTTAACCATCTCATGCCTTGTATGCTGTGCACGTTGTAGGTGATACAATAAGTAAGGCAGGAACAGGTCAGACTGTGTTATCTTCATTGCATGATCCTGATCGATCCATTTATCCATGATTTGAACAAGTCATAGACTTTTTAGAGAATATATGATGTATAATAAATATTATCATACTCTAAGGCATATGCACAAAGAGGCCAAGCTGAAGATTACAGGCAACTTTCTTTGTCACTTCTAAATTTAATGCTAGATTATTTTTAACCTTAATGCTCTTCTAACATTGAGGTTTCTTTTGTGTATAGAATAGCTTTCACTTTTTAAAAAAAATAAACTGCAACTGAATTTGGGGATCTTGGTTTTGTGTCTGCGCGTCTCTCTAGCTGTGCTTGTAGATGAGTCTTAAAACTATTTAATAGCTCTGTCAAGGGTTTGTGTCTTACCCTGTCCCCATGTTGCTGGGGCAGGACAGCAGCGATTCTCTCTGCTTCCTCTTATGTCTACAGCAGTGGCACCTAGCTTAGCATGCTGTTGGGATGCTAAAATGCTTGTCCTGTTTTGTGAGTGTGCAGATAGTCAAATGTGGGTAGAAAACCCAAACTGCTGACGTGTTTGAAAAATTTCCAGCCATTCAGTAATGAGCTTCAGAATCATTTTCCAGGGATCTCCTGAACCCATTGCAGTTTATGTGTTTACTAGCCTGAGTGTTTCTTCAGTCTCTTCTGGAGATTGTGTAAAATCCTTGCATCCACTGGTCCTATTATGAGGAATTCGACACATCTGCTAACAGTTGCATGGAAAAATATTTTTAAATTTTAGATTCTTTTAAACCATATTCTGACTAGCTTTGTCATGGAAGTCTCTACTCCCTGAATTCGGGCTTATCACAAGTTCTTTCCATGTTTTCTGTCTTCCTGCGCAAGATTTTTTTTATTTTCACATTTCCCTGATTGCCTTTGTAGCTTGTCACCTCATGTATCTCTTCCAACCTCTTGCATTCCCACCAGTTTGCTCAGGGATTGCATCACAGTTTTGATTTCTGTGTCCAGTAAATCCTAATTTATCCTGAATCTCTCATCCTGCTCCCCAGTGTTTATTTTGGTATAATGAACGACCTCAAGTCTGACTCTTGGTCCCTCTGCCTTGAATTCAGGCAGCTTCTTCCCCTATCCTGAACAGGACATGGGCTTTGTTCTCCCTTCTGGTATATGGATCTAATTCTCATGTGAATGTTCACCTCGTGTAGAATCTCCGGGGAAATAGGTTGCAAGACCTCGTGCTGATTTAGTTGAGTATGTGTGAAATAGCTTAGATGCTGTAATGAATTGGACTGGGATCTCCTTGGGAGGAGGGAGGAAATTCTTCCTTCTCCTGGGAGAAGACTACTGGCTATGGCCAAGGGGTTTGCCTCTGGAGGACTCAGCGTTGTCAGCCAAGCGGCAGCCTCATGCACCAGTACAGGCTGGGGGCTGACCTGCTGGAAAGCATCTCTGCTGAGAGGGACCTGGGAGTCCTGGTGGATGACAAGCTGACCATGAGCCAGCAGTGTGCCCTTGTTGCCAAGAAGGCCAATGGTATCCTGGGGTGCATTAAGAGGAGTGTGGCCAGCAGGTCGAGGGAGGTTATCCTCCCCCTCTACTCTGCCCTGGTGAGACCCCACCTGGAGTACTGTGTCCAGCTCTGGGCTCCCCAGTTCAAGAAAGATGAGGAACTCCTAGAAAGAGTCCAGAGGAGAGCAACTAGGATGATAAAGGGACTGGAGCATCTCCCCTACGAGGAAAGGCTGAGAGAGTTGGGCTTGTTCAGCCTGAAGAAGAGAAGACTGAGAGGGGACCTCATCAATACATACAAATATCTTAAGGATGGAAGTCAAGAGGACAGAGCCAGACTTTTTGCAGTGGTGTCCAGCGACAGGACAAGGGGCGATGGGTGCAAACTGAAACATAAGAGGTTTCAGTTGAATATGAGGAAAAACTTTACTCTGAGGGTGACGGAGCACTGGAACAGGCTGCCCAGGGGGGTTGTGGGGTTTCCTTCTCTGGAGATATTCCAAGCCCGCCTGGACGAAGTCCTGTGTAATGTGCTCTAGGAGAACCTGCTTTGCCAGGGGGGTTGGACTAGGTGATCTCCCAAGGTCCCTTCCAACCCTTGTGATTCTGTGTGTGATCTGTGTGTGAATGCAGAGACTGAGATACTACAGGTTAAGAAAAGGAAGCAGCGAGCCAGGCCTTGGAGCAGGACCAAAGGCCTCCTAGGAAGTGGAAGGGACCTTGTGGAGCTGCCTACACCGCAAGGTCACCTGAAATATACCTGGAAATAAGGATTTGCCATTGAGGATATAATGTGAAGTAGGAGCTTTATTTAATAAAGCCTTTCTTTGTTCTTTCTCACCTAGCTGTGATATCCCTCCCCCCCCGAATTATTTATCCTACGTGGTAGTCTTATTAAATCCTGAATTTGTTCTTTAATTTAAAGACATTCTGAAATTCCTTTTTCTCTTACTTTTCTTTTTGAGCTGCTCCAGACATGTGCATATTCTAGCTGTCACTTTCGTGGATGCTGAAATATTGTGGATGGATTTTCATGGGGTGGCAAAATGTACGTGCCTGGCACAAAGTTATTCCAAATTTGATATTTTTACTCCCAAAACATGGAGCTGTAAAAAAATTTCTGAAAAACAAGCTTTCCAGAATTCTGTTACCCATGAGCTAAGCCATTTTGGCTGTTAGCGAAGAGAAATTAGGAAAAAAGTGATCCGAGGCAGATAGTTGGCTTGGAGAATTGCATTCGGAAGCTCTGAAATTTCACAAGATTGTAAGAGCAGAAATCAAAGATCCATAGTCCGCAGCCCAAGTGCCAAGAGCAAACATACAAGTGAATTTGAATAATGTACATTTTGCATCAAGTGAGTCTGAGCTGCAGCCTTTTGAAGAAAGCGTGTGTAAGATGTACTTGCTCCCAGCTCCTGGCTTTCTCTTGGTTCTGCACCAATACATGGGCAAGATGCTATCGAAGATGCTACCATTAGGTGATCAGTGGTGTCTCAGTTCGCTCTGAGTTTCCACAAGGACGTGCGGCTTCTAATTTGAGAAACAAAAGTATGCTGGCACACCACTTCTTACAGATTGCCCCTAAAAGGGGAAGCGTCGGGCAGCTTTGATGACGGGTTTGCTCCTGTCTGTGCATATTGCTCCTTTGTATGTTCTAAATCTCAAAGCAAGTTTTTAATTCAGTTCTGTGTGCAACAGCTTAAAATAGATGCTGAAATTGCTTTTAAATGGGATCTGTTGTTAATGTAAAGAGCTATATCAAAACTAGTGGATATAATGAAAAATACAGCCCAACTCTGTAACAAAAAGACTTTGACCAAATAAGGGAAATAAAGCTAATTTAATTTACAGTGTGTTGGCTGTCATCACTGTATTAAAGGTTATACCGGTATTTATGAAAAGTTGCTATCTCAGTAATTTAATCGACTTAACAACCTAAGCCTATGTAGAGGTACAAAGTTCAATATTACTTGTCTTGAAAAGAGCAAGTTCTGGTTTTGAAGCTATTTAAAATGCTACTCTAACAACAGCAGTTAAAAGAGGAATGCTAAAATTAACAATTTAGTCATGCTAATGGATTGTATTGTGCAGCTAGGTTGTGAATTCTCAATTATATGTTTTTTAATGAACTATCTGCTATTGGTTTTGTGTAGATCATCCTTTGCAGGCTGGAAGTGCCAAGTGCAGGATAATTCAGTGAATGATGTGGACTATTTCAGCTTCTTGTTTTCAACCCTTATAGGTAATCCATGTGAATGCCATAATTCAGAATTAACAGACTGAAATTTGTTTTTATAGTCAATTGCTGGATTTAATTTACAATAAATGGTGTAGTAAGTATTTCCTGAAAGTAATTCTAAACTTGTTACTTACTTTTTTAATGAGATACTATTTTTTTCTTGATCTGATTTTTGACACCCTATTTTTATACTTTGAAATGCCATTTAGGATTAATATTTGCATATGTTTTCATCATTGTAGCAACTTTCTTCGGAAAGTATGAGGAAAACCTAAATTCAGCATATGACTTTAACAAGATTTTTTTTTTCTAGTTTTAAGTAAATGCCTTTTATTCGCACGTAACAATATAAATGAGTGCCTCTGGGATTTCCTGTGGACATGCTTACGCTATTAAAAACATTCCATCAGAATAAAGTAATCCAAGTATGTTGAAGTGAGCTTCCCAGGGTCAGCATGTGAGCAGAATTACTTCTGCTGCTACATTCTTACTCAGATATAAAAATAGTTGTATTCTGGGGTGATGCAACTTTGCCATTTTAACCACTGTAATTTCCCATAATATTTCTGAGAAATATCTTCCAGTAACTTGTCCTGCGGTAAACAGAAAATATCTTTTCTTTATCACCTCAGTCAGTCATAATGTTCAACTACGTTGCTTTCAAAGATTACCTTTTTTTCCTAAAACAGTGAAGAGTGCTGTACTGATAACTGAGAAAACAAAAGCAAAACCAAAGTCACTGGTTTGGAGCAGTAGTCCTGGTTTACTAAAACTTCTAATACCTGTCTGGTAATAATTAGTCAAACGATTATATTTTTTTTTAAAACCCTGAGGTTATGTTAGAAGGTTACTGAGTTACTGTGAACACATAGTGAACTGTCTTGCATTATGCATGGTTTTTTTTTCCATTTTGTAAAAATACACACGCTGAAAATAGCAGCATAATGTGAGCCTCTTACAGTTTTTATACCACGTTACAGTTTAAATGTGTATGCCATTGATTTTTCAAAATATTTTCATTTTATTTCAGAAGTCAGGATTTATATTTTGATATACGTAATTTAAAATACCAAGCAAGAGGTTTTAACAAAAAAAAAATGTTCTGCAGACATAATTTAAAAGACAGTTTTTGTCAATGATGCTGTTGAAGTAGAACAGTGCTTGGCTCATTTCGTGATACTGTTGTATTGCTTCTTTTTCTCTAGGGTTTTCAAGAGAGGAGTTGACTAGTCTCCAGGGCATTAGAGGAAAGCCGCACATTAGCCAGACACAGCTTTCACCTGTCCGTCTTTACCTAACTGATCTGGACCAGTTTTTACACCACTGGGCTGTGACAGAGGTAATACATCAACACTAATTCTAAATGACAGCATACAAACTCTGAGTGCTCTCCTTCCCTTTTCCACAGATGCCTAAATCTTGTTCTAAGTTGAGTTGAAAAAAGAATGAAAAACTATACTAGCTGTCGAACAGCCAATGTTTTTCTATAGCCATCAGATAATATTTTGAAGGAAGTTGCTTTAAAAGGTCAATGTTCAGACACATAGTATGCAAAACAATACTCATGGAAAAAATGGGTAGAAGCCTGGGTGGAAAATTCTTAATCACTAATAAGATTAAACCAGCAATATGTTTTGGCTTTGAAAAATAAATTAATTTTAAAAATACTGAGTATGAAGAGTTTTCTTTGAGAGTAAATTCTACTGTTAATTAAAAATCACTTGTGTTAAGTGAGGTTTTTAACTTGGCAGTAATATTAAGTTAGCATTGGTGGTTATTTAGAATAACTTCTGATGCTTATTTAATCAAAGTTTACTGGGATTAGAAACTTCACTGTGAATTCAGTTCCTGGTCTACGTTTGTAAGAACTGAAACCATAATTTTATTGCTGGTTTTAAAGGGATCTGAGACACCAGATTTTATTCAGAACAGGTACGTATTAGTCTTCATTCTGGCTCAACTCTTTTTGTTGCTTAGCCCACCATAAACCACTTTCAGCTGTGAATTCATGTTTTAATGACATGCCAATTTGACAGTATTTATGAAATCTCTGTCATGAATACAGAAAGAAGAGTGTAACACAAGCTTTTAGTTGTACGGTTTATTCTGGCTTTTCATGGCAATCTTTGTGGTTCAAGAAAGCAGTATAGTAGATTTTTCTCTTCCAAATCATAAAATGATAATGTACTCAAACTAATGATAGTCTGAGACATATATTGCATATGTGCTATTATGTATTGAATAGTATTTTAAGCAAAGTTGTTATTTGGTAGCCATGACTGACATGTATCTTTAGATGTCCTGCCTTTAGTCCGTTGGCCTGTTGACCAGCTAAACTTTCTTCCTGACTTGTTTCACTTGTCTCTTCTGGGCAGTAATGATGTGTTTTCTCACCAAAACACCTTTCTCCAATATTGAAACACTAGAATGTTTTCTCTCCCTGTCCTATACAGAACACAGGATTGTTCCTCTGTGAATGCACCAGCGAGATTACTCTCAAGTGTTTCTCGAAGAGTTAGTATCAACCCATACATCTGAAGGGTTTATATGTACTTTACCTGCTTCTGAAAATGCCACCCCTCCTGTCCTCTTTTTGCTTCTCTTCCACAAATCTATCAAAGTTGGATGAGAAACCACACAATAGGAATATTTTTCACTTAGGGAAGGCGAAGTAGTTTGGTTGTAGATATCTTGTTTGTCCCTTTGATGCCTGGCTGCAAGTTTGATTTACTTCTCCTGCCCCAATCTTTTCAGTGTTCTGGTGCTATTAAGGAGAGTCACTATTTTTCAGAAACTTGAGACTTGCTTTTGAGAATGGTAACAAAAATCCCAAGCATCAAAAATCTGTGTGTGAAGAGCAATGAGATCTTCTAGACCCACCTTGTTTTGTAGACCCTTAATCAAAGGGAGTTCTGGGCTGCCGCTTGCAACTCTCACCTTGAGAAGGAGATTTGAGGCTTTTCCTTATAAGCCTCTTCATGATTGGGGAGAGGAAGTTTCTAGTAAACTGGGTTATATTGGGTACACCTAGGATGTGATCAGAAATAGTCAGCGAGGATTTATGCAGGGCACATTGTGGGCAACCACCCAGTTGTCTTTCTGCAACAAGGTGATTAGCTTGGTGGGCGAGGGGGGAGCAGTGGAGGTCCACTTAAAAAACCCCAGAGATTTATGTTTTTAGATGACTGTTTTTCTCTGTGTTTAAGTATCTAGTACAGTGCTGTGTTCATTAAGTTTTAGGGGTTTTCTCTTTCTCCTTTTTGAGTACCATTCTCCAACCTCAAACTTGTTGACCCGTATTCTATTTCATGTTCAATTTGTAAAGAAAACATTCTGGGGACTGCAGTCCATAGAAGTCCTGGTTTGGGGAAAAACTTTTCAGTTCAACATTTGCCAAATGTTGAACAGGGATACTTTTTGTACAGCAAGTAGTTTCTGCCAGGTACTGAACAAGTTACTCTCCTCTCAAAAGAAAATAAACCAAACAGCGACAAAAAACCCCCAAACCCAGAGCTGCAGCCTCTGGGAAGAAGAAAACTGTCAGCAAATCATGAGGCTCTTCTAGGATGTCTTGAAAGACCATGTGATACGATTTTCTTCCAAGTGTATGACACAATTTTGGAATCAAAACATTTTTAGCTGTGACAGAAAATTATTTACATAAAGAAGTGCTACAGGAATTAATAAAATCCAACGAGTCACGCTTTTGGTGGAACAGAGTAGAGCGGCACAGCTTCTGAATGCTGAATCTTTCATGCTTTCCCTTGCTGTATAAGGAAGTCTATGATGATGCTGTAATGTTAAGCAAAATATTTGTAGAAATTTAAAATACCTAGTAAGTGAGAACAGCCCTCCATTGGCTGCAGAGCAGGCAGCATTCAGGCTTCTACTTCATGTTGAGAATTGTTTAACTTAAAAGAGTTCTCATTGTGTAGTTGTAATTTAGGTTTTCCTCATAATGGAAAAATACTTTACTCTGAATGAAAATAAATGAGGAACTGATGGAATTATGATTTGACAGCCTGGTTTCCTATGAATAAATGAGACTAGCGATCAGATTATTATTAGTCCATCCATCTTCCTCTTTCTTCTCTTCCACCGCTAGCTTTGTCTAAACCATTGGCTAGTCTTTGGCGCTCTGCTGAAAGAATAAAGTTACAACTACTAGTTGCCCGTAAGTTTTATGAAAATAAGCAAGTGGAAGAGAAAATACTCTAGATTAGCATGAGGCAGTTTATAACTCAGTTTCTGCACCCTGCTTGGCAGCAGCCAGCTAGCCAGCCGGCACATGCATCGCTCTGGACCGGGCTCGGCAGGTGCCGTCGCTTGGCCCGCAGGGGTATCGGGGTTGTGGGGCAGGAGCAGCTGGCGTTAGGCCGCTGGGGAAGCAGGAGGGGAAGGGATGAAGGGTCCCAGGCGTGGATTTGTAGGAGGCCACGGCTTGTTGGCTTTATTGCTTACTTGCTCGACTTTGCCTTCCTCTGGATTTGAAAACAGTCCCAGCTTTCTGTCGCTGGCTAGCTGTGCTGCGCAGTGAGTGCTGTGTGGATTTCTAACAGTAATGAACTGTAAGAGGGAATTTAACGTATAACATATACATAACAGAGGTGCGGAAGGAGAAAAGCTATGCCTCTGGAGAAAGTCAGGCTGTGTAAAAGAAAAGAATAACTTGAGGCAATTTCAAATGGCAGTTTGGAATTTCGGAGCGTATTGTAATACAACCGGTGCAGTTAGTAGCATGTGTCTAAGTGTAATTGGCAAAAAGGCCAAACCAATGCACTTCTGGTAGGAGTTAATGCTTTTAGGTGGTTTATAACAAAAGCTGTTTTGAGATGGATGCTGTTTGTAACTTGTTTTGTCTAGAGAGTATATTTTATATACTTTATAATATGTAATAATATATTGAAGTATATAACATATACTATAAAATAAAGTTATAGTTTTATATATTATAGTGTATTTTATATACCTTAATACTTTATATTTTATATTTAATATACTCTAGAGTGTATATTTTCCACTGTTGGTATAGTTGAAATCTGAAGCCATGTTATTTTTTTGTGGAACCTTTTAGGTAATGGTGACTTTTCACTTAAGGAGCAATGCTTAAGAAAAGTATCCCTTTAAATGCCATTTTGTGTAGCTGTAAAGGTTAATCTTCACATTTTGTCTAAAAGATACGTTAAATGTGGAAACCTTGGTTCCTTTTCTGGAGCAACTTCTACTTAAAATGACTTCTGCCTTATTGAAGCCAATTATTTAAAATCATACCCCTGTAGCTGAAATAGGTGAGGCTCCAGAATAAATGGTTGCAGCCTTAGGGAAGAGTCTTCAGCCTTCATTCATTTTAACTGTGCCTATAGTGTTTGTCGATAATATTATTCACTCCCCTGTAATTGAATTGCTCTGCTAGTATCGAATGAAACAGCGCCAACAGGAATGAACAGTTTAACAAGGCAACAGTGCAGACATGATAATTTCTTTCTGTTGTTGTAATATTTGGTGTTTATGATGCTTGAACATTTTGGAGGGAGAAAGCAAATGATAACTCAACAGTTCTGCTCAAGGTCGAGATTCTAGAGTTATACTGAGCACATAACTGACCTGAAGAAATAAACTTTTTAAATGTTTTGTTGAGTATTTTAAGAGCAAACACTAGGGAAGGTCGGTTGCTTTTCAAAGCTGTCTTGAATTCAAGAACCTTGGGATGCACATGACGTAGTATACTAATGTGTGTCAAAAATGGAGAAGTCTTATAAGTGAAATAGAGCTGGGAAGGCTGTATCTGCACTGATATGCTATGGAAAATTACAACAAATCATTAAAGATAGCAAGTCAGTGCATGTAAATTAAAAGTCCTGTAAGGATGTTTGTCTTGAGAAGTAAACGGTGGTGTTGCAGTGCTGAAGCTTAACTTTAGGCAGAGATCAACACTTCAAAAACCACTAAATTTTTTAAATTAAGATTTTGAGTTGAAGTTCCTGTAGGATTTCAGACTTGTGGTCTTTATTGTGATTTCCAAATTAGAGGTACATTGGGGACAAAAAGCAGCTGAGGGTAAATAGTCCCTTCTGAACTTAGAAATATGCTATCATTTTTACCCTCTTTAAGGAGGATAAAAAAATATGTATAAGGCCATTAGCGTTTCATAAAACTACATCATATCCAAATTTAATGTTTAGAAATTACAACCCAAATACCAAAACACAAAACACCCAACACCCTAACTTGATCCTTGGGCCAGTGCTCTGTTGTGCCTGCATCTTACACTTCCAGTGTAGCTTGTGATGTTTCATAGCTGGGAGCTCACACATTCCGGCATGTAGGTAATGTGAATTA